CTAGTTCCCGCGCTCGCATATTTCGCGATCGTGTTTGTCCCGCGATAATATATTCGTGTCGCGTTTTCGCGCCTTTCGAGGTAGCTACATTAGCCTCTCTGTAGCATCGCGCCAGTGAGTGCGAGCCGATCGTCGTGCGTTATCGTTGAGTCACAACGATTAACAAGTGGCCGTTATAGACAAGTGAGTGTCTCACGCATAGTTCCCGGCATACGACGTAGTGCGGATTTACCGCTACCCAGTGACGCACAATGGATCCAGCATTATACAGTCGCGAACAGCTACAGAAGGATACTCTGGACGTCTTGAAATCCAAGCTCGCCATGTGCAATCTACCTGTCGAGGACACAAAGGAACAGTGCATCAAAGCATTGCTGAATTTTATCGGCGATCACGCTGCCGGTGATCACGATTCGTCGAAACATAGCCGTCCAACGACAACGAACGATTCTTCAACCACAATTGAAGATATGCAAAGAGCTATCCAGCAATTAGCGCTAAAGATGGACGCGCTGATTAGCGGCGGCAACGCCACTTCAACAACGACTCATAGAGTATCGTCAAGTTCGGTCGCGTCACATCCACCGGTTGCGCCTGAACCGCCAGTGGGCCGAGTGATTTCTGGTATTCCGGTCGCACAAGCAATCACGGTACTTGCCTCGCAGATCCCTTCGTTCGATGGTTCAGAAGACGACGACGTCGAAGTATGGATTCGCCGAATAGAATCCGTGGCTATGGGTCACGGCGTGAGCGACCAAGTCACCTTTTTAGCAGCAACTAATAAGCTGCACAAACAAGCCAAAGATTGGTTTTATATGGAGGAGGGATCATCCACTCTTTCCTGGTTTTCTTTCAAAGAGGCCATTATAGCAAGATTTAAGCGTCGTATCCCTTTTCACGTCGCCATGGCAAAGATAGAGGCTTGTAGGTGGAATTTTACCAAAGAATCTTTCCAAGAATACGCACATCAAAAACTGAAGTTAATGCATGCGTTAACGCTGCCAGAGAGAGACAAGATCCAGCTGATCATTAATGGAATCAACAGTGCCTCACTCCGTGCTTCTGCCACAGTACTAGGGGCAGTTACTATCAGCGAATTTCTAAATCGTATGTACGAAATCACCAGCGCTTTCAACCAAGGCACAAAAAAACCTTCTCCCCCTCCAAAAAGAATGGAAAAATCCTTTTCACCTCCGTCATCCCCTGGGAAGAAGTCATCACCGAAATTTTCAAAAGAAGTAGAATGCAACTACTGCAAGGCGAAAGGTCATCAAAAAGAAGATTGTTTCAAACTCAAGAAGAAGGAGCGACAGACGGCCTCAGCGGCAGTTAAGTCAACAGATACAACAAAGAACACCAAAGAGACGTCAATAATAGGATGCGTGATAGAGGGCGCAACCGAAAAGCTAGAGATAAGTGACACGATTGTTAAAATAACTCAATTGAATAATTCATCATGTAGTCTCAATGCCCTGATAGACACGGGCAGTCCAGTCTCCTTCATCCTCAACTCTGTTTACGAAATTTTTTTTGGTCAACAAGCTTCTTTTAACGATTGCCCTATCAATAATTTTAAAGCTCTAAATAATCAAAATATTAACGTAATTGGCTCTTGCGATGCGAATATTAGTCTCGCTTTACTACCATCCTCTCGATGGCAAATTAATTTTCAAATAATAAAAAATGAAGACTGGTCTACCCATGTCATTTTAGGCCGAGATTTTTTCATAAAAAACAAACTCACTCTAATTTATAGTCCGGCCAATACAGAAGAATTAAAACGCGTTCAGCTCTTTAACGAAGTCGCTTCCGCGGAAATAATAGAAGTTGCGGAAACGAACGATAAAATAATCGATGCGTGTCGTACAGATTTCGGGCCAGAAATTGATTCCAAAGTTGTTCAACTAGTAAATGAAGTAGAGCAAACCCCAATGCCGATCATAAATGACGATTATTGCGTTAAAGTAACGCTTAAAGATAGTTCAGTTTACGCATATGCGCCTCGACGACTCGCCCACTCAGAACGCTTATGTATTAGAAATATAACAGACGATCTCTTAAAAAGAAAAATAATAAAGCCCAGCAAATCCCCGTATTGTGCTCGCATAATATTAATACGCAAGAAGGACGGTAACTATCGACTTTGTGCGGACTTACGACCATTAAACGATAGAGTCGTTAAACAACACTTTTCCTTCCCTGTCATCGAAGACTGCTTAGCACGTCTAGGAAATAATCACGTATTCACTTTGATAGACTTAAAGGACGGTTTTCATTTAATAAAAATACATCCAGATAGTACAAAATACTTTTCATTCGCGACACCAGACGGCCAATACGAGTATTTGCGCCTCCCCTTCGGTTATTGTGAAGCTCCAGCGGAATTCCAACGGAGACTAAATTACATATTACAACCCCTCATTCGAGAGGACAAAATAATACTGTACATGGACGACATTTTGATACCCTCCATTACAATAGAACAAAATTTAGAAATCATTAAAATGACTTTATTGTTACTCAAGCAATACGAGTTTAACATTAATCTCAATAAATGTCGATTTCTTAAAAAATCAGTGGAATACCTCGGTTATATGATT